TTCTATGCAACGTGGTTGCTATGAGCCGTTTGGTTTCAAACGACTTAAAGGGATGGTATGAAAAGTCACATGAAAACATCTTGCATGGGTTCTTGGACATCGAACAGCCCTTAACTTTGAGTTGCATAGGAATGAATCGAAACCCTTGTTCTACATTTGACCTATACCATCCATGGGGTGTATATAAGCTCTTGTTCAGGGTCAGGCCACAGTGAAAAATGAGCAGATGTTTCCATGCGTTCAGAAGGCCCCTGGTTCGTTATGCCCTTACTGATTCAAGTAGTGCTACCTGCTCATTTCAGCCTCGATACCGTACAATCTTGGTAAGACAGAGCTTGGGACTATTCCTTATTCCCTAGCTTCTGTACAACTCTATTCTCCAAAACTTGGGGTGGTTCTTATAAATATTAACCCACATGTAGGGTTCTGAGGGATAATCACTCGGTTAGAAACCTGATATGCTCATAATGTTTTCAGTTTCTAATACATTGTATTAGAAGTCTTCGTTGTATTGGCGTAAGATACCTTCAGGTCAGGTTCTCAGCATTTGGAGACAAACGTGTTATTTAAATTCAAGATACTGCAAATAAACACAAGGCAACTTTAATACTTGTCCATGAAATGCAGTTAGTTCGTTTCTCTGGGCGGGGGGGCGGGGGGGCATTGATTAATTTCTAGGTGCCTTTCCTAAAGTTAGAAATATTAGGTACCTAATGCAAAAATATCATGATAGGTAATGAGGCAAAATGTGGCAGGAATAACAGATGCCTGCTGGGGCTAAAGCAGGTTGGATTCTCCACCTGTGTAATGATTTCATTATTATTGATCAGTGTAATTATCAGAACTGCTGCAACCACAAGTTAGCAACAGAGGGGGAAATTTTGCATTCGTATTTTATATGAAAAGAGTGTAATATTTGAGACCGATGTCTCCTTTTGCATGTGACTGTTCATCATCTTTTAAACACGGTACCCATCCTGCTAATAAAGACAAGGCTGGCTAATTGTTCACCCACTTATAGAGGAGGTTTGAACTTTTTGAAGTCAGCATTCCACACGTTTTGGGAGAATAGGGCTGACTTTCCTGTCTCAATCCTTTGGGTCCAGAGGCAATGACACGCCTTCTCCTGAGCTCACCGAGTGCAAATGCAGGTGTCCCAAGTTGGTGGGGTTGGCCTTCGCCAGCCAGCTGAGCCGTGAGCACTTTTTCAAAGGATCCGGCACTTTGTGTCCTGGGCCAGGGGCAGGGCTGATGGGTCCTGTACAGCTGCAGCTGCCAGCGTGTGGACCAGGCTTTCGGAGATGGCAGTGAGGTGGACAGGCGAAAGTAATTCCAGCTGCTTCTCTTGGAGAGTGCAAGCGAGAGCCTGGAGAGGCTGGTTCCCTAACAGGAAGCAGGAACCTGCATGGAGAGTTGTCAGCCCAGCAGCCCTGTGCAGCCCGTACTGCCAGAGTGTGTGGAGTTACAGGAAACAGACTCCAGGAAACCTCTTTCTCAGGCTTTCTGCTGTCATCCTTGGCCTTCACATCACCTTGGCATCTTCTGTTCAGAAGATGCCTGGGGCCTCCTAGCCAGTCTCCTCTTTCACTTCCAGCTTGCAGCAGAACCACTTTGTCCATTTGGCCTGGCCTGTGTTTTCCACATGTGTTGTCCTGGCCAATATCCGCCATCAGTAAAGTTCTTTTCATTGAATCGGAAATCAGTGGAGGGAACAAACACACAAAACAAAACCCACACAGTTCAACCTCACGAGTTTGTGTTGGACGGGAGTGGAGGGAGGGAAAGTTGATTCACATGTGGACAACACTGAATTCACTAACCATTTGTTGATAGACTCGTGTGTTCTGTCCTGTGCTGGAAGGTGAGGATGCTCCAGTGGGTCATCCCTTTCAAAAAATAATGCTCTGGGGTTAAAGAAAAAGCCTCTTTCTCTGAGGTAAAGCTGACCTCTCCTCTAAGTGGAGACATTTCTGGACCTGGCACTTAGCTGTTCTTGGGCGTGGAGAGTAGGGACAAAGGGGCAGCATTGATGTCTTTCTTGGTGACTCATTTGATGATTACTCCATTGTTTGAAGGGCTGGATGTTATGTAATCAACACTTGATCCCCTCCCCCCCATTTTTCCCTCTTAACAATCTGGGATTTTCCATCATTTTGTCAACCTTCCTGGAGGCATGTTGATTTTTCCACTAGATTACTAGATTTTTGGGGGCATGGCCCAGGGTGGCCCAGACTCTCCACTCCCTAGTCCTTCAGATTCACCCACCGTGGCAAGGCCTGGGGAGCAGCTGCAGTGAGCCTTCTGTCCTTTCAGGGCAAAGCTTGACCCCAAGCTGTTTCCTGACAGCATCGCCCAAAGCAAACTGGAGGGAAAGTACTGGCTCTCCTTTCTTACAATGTAGTTTCCACTCATTTTGACATTCGGAGGCAATATGTTTGCTCCTTTTTGCAGAGGTCACCTATTGTCATCTTTTCACTTCCATATTTCCATTTTGTTCAGCCAATAACACATTATGTGTGTTCAGAGAAGTTTTTTAAATGGCCAGGGTTTAGAGATGGCTAGTGGAGGAACTTCTACAGTAGCCGCGCCTGGACCTCAGCCACTGAATAAGTCAGTTTCATATGATACAGTCCAGATTCAGAGTGAGGAAGAGGGCTTCTGGAAATCACTGCAGTAAAGTGTAATCACTGCCTAAAGATCACGGAATGGTTGTTAGGAATTCTCAGGTCATTTCTTTCTTTGTTAGCTTTTATACAGGAACTTGTGCCTGTGTTGAATACAGATAATTTTTAACTTGAGCCATATTTATGGATCTTTGTTTTGAACCTCTTCTCCAAGTACAAGAGGGATTGGACATAGAGATAAAAATACAGATGGATTTAGCAAAGGATGACATTTTTGCGAATGTACAGATTTTGATACCTTAAGTCTTCCTCACTACCTACAGAAATCAGGTTTTATAGATAGTACCTTCCATATGCACTTCAACTTTGTCCACTTATTTTATCTGCGTCACCATCTACCTACTCAAAGCTACATCATCTTTCACTGCAACTAATGCAATAACCTTTTACCAAATTTTCCCACGTCTATTCATAGTCACCACCTCAACCATTCTTTACAGAACAGCTAAGGTGATCTTCTCTCTCTCTCTTTTTTTTCTCCATTTCTTTTTTTATTGAAACTACACCTAACATAAGATTCACCATCTTAACCATTTTTTAGTGTACACATCAGTGGTGTGTGTTATAGACATTTGTAATGTTGTACAGCCATCGCCACCATCTGCCTCCAGAACTCTTTCCATGTTATAAAACTGAAACTCTGTCCCCATGAAACAAACTCCCCCAGCCCTTTCTCCCTCTAGGCTCTAGCAGCTACCTTTCCACTTCCTGTCTCTATGAATTTGATTATTCTGAGTACCTCATATAATTTGTCTTTCTGTGATTGGCTTATCACACTTAGCATAACTTGTGGGTTCATCCAGCTGACTAATATCACATTGTATGGATACACTAAATTTTGTGTATCTGTTCATCTCCGCCATCTCTTGATGGCCCCTTGGGATGCCTCCACATTTTGGCTATTTGTGAATAATACTGCTGTGAGCCTAAGATACAAATCTCTCTTTAAGACCCTTTTTGACTCTTTTGGATATGCAGAGAACTCCTACATATAAAGGACATATAAAATTACATGTAAAAACTACATGTAAAAACTCCTACATAAAACTCAACAACAACAACAATAGCAAAAACCCCAGCAACTCTATTAAAAATGAGCACAGTCTTTGAAAAGACTTTTCTCCAAGGAAGATACGAAAGTGGCCAGTAAGCACATGGAAAGACGCTAAACAGCATTAATCATTAGGGAAATGCAAATCAGACCTACAGTGTGGAGCCACTTCAGATCTATCAGGATACCTTAACAGCTTGCACGCTTGTCTGTCCTCTTTCAAACTACTGTCCCTGGGTTTCTCTGCTCCCACTGCATTCATCTTTTTGATACAAAACCAGGCAAAATTTCCCCTCCTCTCCCCATCTCACAACCTTTTTTCTGCTCTTCCCCTTGTCTAGGACCAAGGTCATCAGGATCACCTGGATTGTGTGTTAAAGGCACAGATTTCTGGGCTTCCCCCACCCCCATTCCTCAGAGGTTCTGATTCCGGAGGTGTGGAGTGGGGCCCCATGGTGGTGATGCAGCTGGTCTGGGGACCACCTTTAGAGAACTACTGGTCTAGAGTGCTTTTCTTTTTTAAACTAGTATGCATGTTTTAGATCTCAGGTCACGCATCTCTCTTCTAAGGGAGGCTCTTTCTGATTCCTCCGGGCTTGCAGGAATTTTTGTTTTACGTTAACATCTCATCTCCTGCTTCTCCTTTGAAGCCCTTATTGACATATTCGAATGTTTAATGCTGCAAGTAGTTTTTATAATGACCAAATCCCCTGCCAGAATCTGATATCCAGCTCTAGGAGGGTAAGGATCGTTTCTCTTTCTCTGATTCCTTACATATCACAAGTGCTCAATTTTGTCAAATGGATGAATGTTATTTCCTCTTCATAGGTAACTGAAAGTATGTAGTCACATTAATACTCTCAGTGAATATGAAGTGTGAGTAGGGACTCTGAGTGAATTAGTAAAGCTATACAGAAACAATAAGCATTTTTTTTGGGTCAAGGATGCAGATCATTCTAGGCAAGAGTCAGGTTTTTTTTGAGGGGAAAGCCCCCCAAATTTTACCTGCCCTGGTGAGGATGTTAGTATAGTTATTTCTCAGCTTGCCTTCTCCAGACTATTCATGTCATATTATATTTTATGGGTGGTTAACTACCTATTCGTTTTTTTAAAATTGAGATAAAATTGGCATATATTAGTTTCAGACGTACAATATAATGATTCGGTATTTGCATATATTGCTTAATGATCACCATTGTGAGTCTAGCTAACATCCATCGCCTGTGTGGTTTTTATTATTCAGATGATACTTTTTTTTCTTACAGATATGGAATGTGCCGATGTCCCCCTATTAACTCCAAGCAGCAAAGAAATGATGTCTCAAGCATTGAAAGCTACTTTCAGTGGTTTCTCTAAAGAACAGCAACGACTGGGAATTCCCAAAGGTATGTTTTGTTGATGGAAAAAGAGACGGGACCAGACTTTTAGGTGAGGTCAATTTTCTCACCTATAGCATGAAGATAGACATGATTACTAACCATACTTGGGTCAGCATCTTCATGCAAATGCTTCCCCATCTCCCAGGTTTGCCAACTGCCATCTTGGTATTAGGACAGTGGTTCCCAAATGTGTTTGCACAAGATTCAGAGTCTTCGAAGAATCCATGGCCCACGCCATGTCTCAGACCCATTAACATGCAAGTCTTGGTAGCATCAGTATTTTTGAAGCCTGTCAGGCAATTCCAGAGCACAGACAAGCTTGGAGAACACAGCCTTAGAGCCATTCTGGGCCATCATTGGATGAACTCAGTGAGCTACATTCCTTGGAATTTGACTGATGGCTCTTTTCTTTTCCATGTACTTTGGTGAAATGTGTTTATACTTGGGTGTTCTCATCTGAAAGGGTTTATTTAGGAATGTAAGGGGACTGGAGTTGTCAGAAAGGACAGATGACTGGAGAACACTTAAGCCTTCAGCAAGCAACATTTCCTGAACAATTGAGAGCAGAAAGAATACTTTTCTGTTGAGTAAGAGTAACACTGTCTGTTGCTTCCAGCCCAGTCAGACCCACATCTTAGATTCTGTAAATGTACCTCCAGACCTTTTCTCATATATATCCTACTTTACCACAGCCTCAGCTGAGAGCCATGTCCAACATCTTAATAGGAACATAAAGCAGAATATTCACGAAGTGAATTCTGACCGCTGGCTTTTCCAGCATCTCATAAAGTCATCTGCTAGTTTGAAGGGGGTGACCTTGATGGCAGGTGTGTGGTGAGCACCACAGCCTGCCACCTCTAAGTGCCATGCTGATGGATGCGTGTTCAACCACAGGCCACGCAGGAAGAGTACGTACTGTCTGTTCCCTGATGCTGTTCCACCCTTGCAGGGTATCTGGTGTAATGAACACAGGCACCTGATCCTGTTGTTACTAGCAGCTTCGGCATTAGGATTAGCAACAATGACTTACTGTCTCTGTGAATCGGAGAACATCCTCAGATCCTTTAATGTCCTCCCTGAGGATTGGGCAAGCGGTAAAATGTGACCTGCTGGATCTCCATCTGCTCTCTTTCCTCAGACCCCCGGCAGTGGACAGAAACCCACGTTCGGGACTGGGTGATGTGGGCTGTGAATGAGTTCAGCCTGAAAGGTGTGGACTTCCAGAAGTTCTGTATGAATGGAGCAGCTCTCTGTGCGCTAGGGAAAGACTGCTTTCTCGAGCTGGCCCCAGACTTCGTCGGCGACATTCTGTGGGAACATCTTGAGATCCTGCAGAAAGGTAATGGTGTGGAGGCGGGGTGGGGTTGCTGCAGCAGTAGGTGGGGGACCATACCCAAGGGAGGGATATCTTGCCACGATCTGTGAGGGCCCTCTCAAGGTCTGTATGGGCTGTGGAGACACGTCAGGCTGGCATGTAGCAGGTGCTTAATAAATGTTAGTTTCTTTTTCTAATACGTATTAGGGGTTCAGATTGTAATAGTTTGCAAGATCACACTCTAGAAGCTTCTCACTATGCAAAATTCTGATCCAAGTCCTTATCTTCGACTCATGTTCTCTTCAGGCAGTGTCTGTCGCCAGCTCCAAGACAGATAGTTGTTTTCCTGTTGTTTTTGTTTTTGTTTTTGTTTTTCCCTGGCAATCTTAATACACATTCCCTTGATCCGTGGCAGTGCGATACCTGTCCACATCCGCAAGAGAGCTTCGTTGTTCAGAGCTAATTAATAAGACCGACTTCTCTGCCCACTAACAGGGTTGGGATTGCCGCGGTGTGGCATACCTTTGTCATCCAGAACAGACCCCGGGGTTATGTCAGGACACCATGTTGCAACCTTGTAATGACATGGCCTCCCCTACGAGCCTCTTCCAACCTTTTTGGACCAAGTGACTCATGTACCACAGTCCTGGCTGAGTATAGAAACAGCAGCAGGCGGCAAACTTGGGTGTTTTTGCACTTATTTTTCTGAATTTCTTCTTAAAATAAATTGCAGTTACCAGCAGTCAGCAGTGCCCTCCAGCTGACTGTAAGCCTAGAAGCCCGTTGGCCTCTCTGACCCAGGCCCACCCTTTCCCTGTGGTCACCAGCTCCAGCCCATGGTGCAGACACTGGGGGCGGCGAGCAGAGCTCCAGATTAGAATTTTTATTCCATATAATACCTTCCTTTGTTTGAGGAGATTTTCCACTCCGCAATGCTCAGGAGAGCCCCAAATTAGATTCCTCTGGGCCCAGAGGTGTTATCTTTCCTCCTTCTCTTTAGCTTCTGCTGGAAAATAAATAAATAAACACAGTCAAGAACTAGGTGAATCTCGCTGCGGCTACCACGCCTGAGGACTGCCAGGTGTGGGCTTCCCGAAACCCCGACACATCCCTGTAGCTGCACAAACACCCACTCCTACGTGTTGACATGAGTGACCTGTTTATAGAGGGAAGAGATAGGGCAGGCTCAAAACAGATCTGATGTAACCATTGGCGTATAAACACAAAGGTGGATTCTACCAGACCGTGTAACCCAGATATATTCTACGGATACGCTGTTTCCCTCTTGTTAGCTCCATGGAGCCGTCAGGTCTTCCGGAGTATTTGTCGTCACAGCCATTGGTAATAACCGTGTAGCATCTCTATGTTCCCAGGGTGCTTTAAGATACATTTTCTCTCTGGATTCTCAGAACAGCCCCGTGAGATGGGAAGAGCGGCTCGGGTACTGTTGGTGTCCTCATCTGTAAAATGAGGGCAGATTAGGTGGTTTCTCTAGATCGCTCATTTCCTTAAACCTAAGTCTTTTTGATTGAACTTCCTGCCCTCCGTCCTTTGTATAATAATACGGATTCGTGCTGGAACGTCTGGGTCCCTAAGACAGGTTTTGGCTTACTTTCTCCACGCAGAGTCATAATTGAATAGAATTTAGGCAAGTGGGGAAATAATTGAAAATGTTGGAGAACGCAGATCCTCTCATCCCACCCATTTTCTACCTGGAGAGGCAGGAAGAACCATCTCCCTTTAGGTACTTGAGTAGCTGAGCAAGATGTTTGCATGGAGGCTGTAGCTTTTGTTCTGAAATTAAACTACAGCAACACAGCCCCAGAGCATAGCTGCTTGGGGTGGGGTGGAAGGCCAAAGGTACAGGGATGTTTCAATCTGATAAGCCTGCTAAAGCAAAGTTTAATCATTTTATCTCAACTGGGAACTGTTTTTCTGTGCAGGCATAAACTTGTTTTCCCAGCAGTCTCTGCTCCCAGCAAGCTATCAGATATCTGAGGAAAAACCCAAACCAATCCTCCCTCTTTATGTCTGATTCTTACGGTGAAACAGAATCAGACCACTCTGTACAATGGTTGAGGTCACACCATTGGATTCCAGGGTAATGAGAGGATCCTGAAGCTTACCTTAATTCAGCGGAGAGCTTGTCTGTGCTCAGTTAACTTCACCTACATTCCTTTCTCCTTCTAAGGGGAGTTGGCACCGGGTCGCCAGCAGCAGTTGGTGATAACTGTTTTCTCTCGTTGCACGAGCCCTGCCACGTCCACCAAAGAATCACCTTACCAGTGTCCTGTTCTCCTCTGGGCCTATACTTGAAATGTGGGGGTGATCGAAAAAACAACACAGAAACCAGACCTCTGTTAGAAGAAATGGAGGCCATTTAATCTACCTACCTAGAGACAGTAATCTATTCCCATAAAGTTTTGGAACGGATCAGCTTGAGTGTTGGGGACCAATTCTGGTAACGTCCCAAGCCTCCAATGGTAATATGGTCCACACATCCATCAGACTGAGGGTGGAATGGCTTCCCAGCCCTTAGAGATTACTCACTGGCGTTCTTTCCAAGATATTAAATCCCATTTTGCAGCTACTGAAATAATAGGCTTAGCCATACTTTTGTGATCTCATTTTGAGACAAGGCTCCAGTCAGGGTAGACTCACACACCAGCTTAGTTAATGAACATGCAGATTTCTTACAAGAGGGGCTGAGATCACTGCGGTCCTTGTGTCCACGGTCCTTTTAGGCCAAATGTTACTTGCATGTTGACCTCTCTGTTTGGTTCCCTGCCCTGTCTGTTACAGAGGATGTGAAACCATATCAAGTTAATGGAGTCAACCCTACCTATCCAGAATCCCGCTATACCTCGGATTACTTCATTAGTAAGTTCACCTTCCACTCGTCTCCTGTGGTTTCTTCTTACTATGATGGGGACCTAAGAAAGGATTCCTGTCCCGGATGGTCTCAGGCTCCTTTGTGGTAATTCTATGGAAAATAATGTTTTCTTTACTGTAGCCTCTTGGTTATTTGTTATTACCACCAGGCACAAGGCTTCATCCTATTTACATGTTGATATGCTTATTGACCTGCAGACTCTTACCTGCCAGGATCTCTCTCTGAGATCTTTAGCCTGAAACTCATGCAGAGAGGCTACAAGTTGACCCCTGAACTTTGACCTTATTTGATCCTGTGCACCGTGGCCATCAGAGCGTTGGGTTAGGGATATGGTTGTGGCCCTTCTTCCTTCCCTTTTACTAGTAGGTATGACAGTATTTCCTCTGCATGTGCCATGTAGCTTCAGATTCTACTCCAGAAAATAAAGCCTTCTCCCTTCTAATAGATGATACCTAACCATACTGGAGAGGTGGCCTCATGAAGAGAATTAGTGTAGGGCTGTCCTTACCTGATGGCCTTGCTTTGGAAAGGTGTCTTGAGCAGGTTTGTTTTCCTTTGACCATTTTATTATGATTTTCATTCTAATAACAACAGTGATATTAACTACAGGGTAGCAAGTGTTGGTACACATTTTGCACATATACTCTCATTTGATCTTCATCACAACACTCTGAGGAAGATTGCAATCACCCCCATTTTAGAGATGTGTAAATTAAGCCAGAAAAGGGAAGTATCTTGCCAAGTAGTAGAGCAACGTTAAACACCCAGGCCCTTTTGACTTAAAATATGTTCCTTTCAATCTCTAAGTTAGTAAGCTTGTTTTCAGCTTGTGGGGCTGTTGTAAATGGTGAAGGCCTGCTAATCTGAGGTGCAAATTGGCCCTCTCTCCAATAGCACATGCTCTCTGTTTCCAGGTTATGGTATCGAGCATGCTCAGTGCGTTCCTCCCTCGGAGTTCTCAGAGCCTAGCTTCATCACCGAGTCCTACCAGACACTCCATCCCATCAGCTCAGAGGAACTCCTCTCCCTCAAGTATGAGAACGACTACCCCTCGGTCATTCTCCGGGACCCTCTGCAGACAGACACCTTGCAGACAGACTACTTTGCCATCAAACAAGAAGTCGTAACCCCAGACAACATGTGCATGGGGAGGACCAGTCGTGGTAGGTCAGATTTCTTCTCTAGAAGCTCTTGGGTTTCCAAAAAATTACCTAACTGTGTGAGTTTTCCAGGTCCCATTTTTTCCCCCCTCTGCCGTTGGCCCTGTCCATTCCTGCGTCTGAGCCTTTCCATTAGACTGTCTAGATATTAAGAGCTTTCCAACATGGAATTTTAGCTAGGTCCACCATCATGACAAAGACCATGGTGTCCATGCTGGAATTGGTGGCACGATGACCAATCACATTTCTCCTTTGGGTAAAATATTTTATTAAATAATAAGTAGTTGAATATGGTTGTCTTTTGAGGTATGATTTGTCTTCTTGGGGTGAATTTTGCTTGAAGAAGACACAACCGGATAAAAATGGCTCACGTGACCCTCCTGGAAAGCTCTGAACTTCACATGCGTCCTAGGGTTCTTCCTAGAGTATTTCTGCATCAGACTGCAGACCCTGGCTTGGTAGTATCTGAATGACCTCTGCTTCTCAGCCTGGGTTCTCTAACCTCCTGTGACTTCTTTGGTTTGGGAAGACACAAAATTGTTAACCAGTGGATTATTTGGAGCTGGTCTTCAGCAGTGTGGTGCGAGTGCGTACTATTTAGCTAGAGGACCAGGGAACAAGGTGGCCAGAGGCTTCCAAAAGAGGGTACTTGTGTCGGCATGACTCTCATGACAATGACAAAATATTCACTGACAGAGAAGTAAATGTTTCAAAATAGAGCTGACTGACTTTATAAAGCAAAGAAAGTTTAAGCACACCCGAATTTAAGATCAGGGCATGAACACTCAGAGGCACCAGCCCGCCTCACGAAGCGTCCACATTGTTTTGTTTCTGAGAAAAGTATAGTCTTCTGTAAGGAGGGATTTGTTCGTCGAGGAAGAACTAGCTGGTTTCTAGAAAGCTGAAAAAAAAAATGACTCTTCCAATGGATAAATGGAGGAAAATTACAAACAGGAAGAGGAACAGGAGAAAGCTCATCAAGGTGTTGCTCTGAGCGCTTCGGCCACAGAAGACAGGCTGGGCTGGCCTCGTAGTGATTTCTGCTCAGTGACAAATCATCTGCTGCCTCTCCTGAGTCTCTCAGAGGGGAGCCCAAAGACATCTTTACTTTGAAGAATCACTCTACAGGCACCAGGGGCCATACATATTGTCATCTTCTTCGAGTGTGAGGCTTACACTTCCTCCCAGCAGGCACTTAGGCTAGGCAGTAGGCCCTGCAGAGGGAAAGTCCCTAGCAAAATCTGAACCTGTAATCTTCCTTCTTAGGGCCCCAGGGTGTTTGTGTTTCAGACCAAAGGGGATGGGTGGAACCAGTTTTGCCTTCCCCTTTCTGACTCTTTTTATTTTTGGATGCATGTCTATTTAAATACATACACACATGTATGTATGTGTACCTTTTTTTTTTTTTTCTTCTTCTTCTTCCCAGGCAGGTCAAAGCAGTAAAACTCTTCCTTGTGGGGCTTTCTGTACATATATGTGATGAGGCCGAGTGTGAGGGCTGGGCTCTGCCATGGCGTAACTTCGGGTAGCTCTGCCGTCACGCTGTTTTTAAATTGCGTCTGGCTTTGCGTTTGTGTGATTGTCCCTTCTCCCTCTCCTTCTCTCTGGTCTTGGTTTTGGTCTCCAGCATCCTTCTGACCCCGTGTCAGTGGCTGTGGACCAGAGAGTGACCTGGGCAGAGGGGCATGAGCTGGTTTTCTCTGGCCTCGTTCTTCTCCTTCCCTTATACTAGACTGACCACACGAACTAGAGGGGAAGACCATTTTGCTCATGGCTGCTGTTTTGCAGGTTAGAAGTTCTGCAAACATGACATCTTCCAGGGGCTGATGGAAACGGCCATGGTGTGATTGGTTCGAATGAATGCATTACTGTTAGCGGATTATTAGTAGTAATAATCATGGTATTCGTGTACTGCATTATAGTATACAAAGTGCTTCTGTGTCCCACTTATTTGGACTCTGAGTACTGTCTTTGTGCTAGTCTGTTCGGCGGGTTGCTGTAGGGCTGCTCCATCCACTGTCGAGAGTGCTCTGAGGTCTCTTTGGTGGAGTCCGATCGCTTTGGGAGGACCTTGCTGTGAGCCATTTCTCAGAGGAGCTTGCCAGCGGACATCTTAGAGAACACATGCTTCCCTGCATGAACACAGTAGCATAACTGAGTGCCTAATCCAGTTGGATTCAACCCATTTTTGGAGAAAATACCCGTAAACGAAGGTTCCCAGCTCCAGGATTGTGAAACAGAGCTAAAAGAAAGCAACCTACTGCCATAAACCACAACTCTCCACTGAGTTACATTTGGCTCATGTTTGACAGGCTGCCAGAGGGTGGTTATGGCCTAGTTTAGTGCCCCTGCTTATTGGGGCTCCTTGGACACTCAGCTCTCCTGCTTGTGGAAATTCCAGTCTCCATGGCCTCCAAGTATAAAAGTGACGGATAGCGGTAGAATCCTCTCAGAGAGATTCACGTATCAGTACTGCCTAAATATTGGTGACTTCGTGGGGTGTTCTGCATGAAAAGATGAATTCTCCTTCTTTGGCTTTTGGTGTGTTTGTCTCACAGAGAAATTGAATGACCATTAAGATGGAGAGCTGGTCTTACCAAACACCTTTTTATGAGACGCCACAAAATTTCCTGTTCTGTTAAAAAGAGGCTATTGCGTTCGTGTTGTAAGCTGTTTTCTTGAGTCTTGTAATGTGAATTTCTGGAAAAGACAATTCTTTCACTTGTGATAATAATAAAGACTTGCAACTGTGCCAGTGGACTGGGTAGGCAGAGTCAGTAACCCGTGGGGCTCTTCAGTTTGCCTTCCGGAGATTACTCTTCTTCGAATGGATGATTTGAGGAAGGAATGAGATTAAGTGGGTAAATAACTACCTTTCTGTTAAAAGCAGTATTGGAGGGGATAAGGGGTTCAGGAAATCTATAACAGTGGCTTTACAAAAAGTATATATTTAACTTACTACCTTTTATCTTGGATTTTTTGGTTGTTTGTTTAAATTTTATGAGCAACATATCTTCCTTCCTAATTACTATATATTTAGTTTTGGTTTGGATGCCATAATTAAATATTTGAATTTCACTGTTCTAACCAACCCCCACTGTTATGAAGGGGAGGATACACCAGAAACCCACCAGTATTAGCTTGTATAGGCCAGCCTTATTCTGGTTTTAAACTTGCTGGTAGACCAGCCACCTCTGAGCACTTGAGAGTTGACGTAGTATTTCTGCATACACATTTGTCACATCCTCTTGGCTCGTGCTCAATAGAGATGGCCGTTTAGTCTCCCGTGATTGAGTTTAGGTTGTCTGAGAACTATCCGAAAGGAGAACATAGAACATATTCCTGTGAGCTTTTTAGCTTTTAGATACATTTATTTTCCTCCAAATTATTTATTTTTTTGCTTAGTCTCCTTTCTAATGGCATTTTTGCCAATGGAAATTTCTCTAGGAGCTATTATGCAATCATAGCAGCTGTTTATAACCTGGTTTGGGAAATTAATGAACTTGCATGATCTTGTGGTCAGTTAAGAATGCCTTAAGCAACTCCTAGAGTAAAGGATTTCTGACATTGCTATGGATCTTAACTCTTTAATCAACTCCTTTGTTTTTTATTGCCCACACTCCCCCAGTGAAGTATAAATTTCAAGTACAAAGTTGTACTTGGAGAGGATAAAGAACATGGATAGAAGAGCGATGATGTTTTTTTTTTTTTTTTCTTAATAATCTCCTGGAAAAAGCATCTCATAACTTATTTCTGTGTTTGAGAAGGCATAGAGGCATTGCATGTATTTCATTTAAAAATAGTATTTGGAAAAAATGCTAAAAAATAACACTTCAGTTCCAAGGTCATGGAAGGTCAATCTGCTCTTAGTGTAGTGGAAATTTTTTTTTTCTTATGACCAGAGTATTTTGCCAAATTGGGCCTTTTGAAATCATCTCACTGGCCTGGTTTGGAGTAGGAAGTTGAGCCTGACACTCCTCCGATTTCTTCATCTCTTCATTGAGTCTACTACGTCAGCCAGAAATTCTGTAATACCACGTATGATTCTCTGCTCTTGGATTTCTGGCTCTGGAATTCTTGAGGTTCTGAACACCGCTCTGTCACTCTGACTGATATGAGCAGCATGCAGCTGAATCTCTGCCCCAGGGGCTGTAACACAGGACGATCCGGTGGCGGTGGGCTCTCGGATGGTGGCCCGGTGAGGCACCCTTCCCCACCGTCCACCCATATGCTTCCGTTTCCATCGGCCTCTCCATTCCTCCTTCTCTCCTGCGGGTCTGATTAGCAATCCGTCCTCACTGAGAGGGTTTTTACAGTTGTCTTTTCCCAATTCCTCTCCCCCTGCCCTCTTCCCTCCTCCTTTTCCCCCAGGTAAGCTCGGAGGCCAGGACTCTTTTGAGAGCGTGGAGAGCTACGATAGTTGTGACCGCCTTACCCAGTCCTGGAGCAGCCAGTCGTCTTTCAACAGCCTGCAGCGCGTCCCCTCCTATGACAGCTTCGACTCAGAGGACTATCCAGCTGCCCTGCCCAACCACAAGCCCAAGGGCACCTTCAAGGACTATGTGCGTGACCGTGCTGACCTCAACAAGGACAAGCCTGTCATTCCTGCTGCTGCCCTGGCTGGCTACACAGGTAGGCGCCCTGCCCCAACCTCAGCAGCCTCTGTGTGCTTGTTGCCACGGGTGGGCTCAGTAGAAGGCGCCGTGCGCATGTCCCTAGAGACTGAAGTCAGCCTCTTTCTTTTTTGGGGGGGTTCTGAGATGAAGAAGACTCTAAGATGTTCAAGCCATCTGTCCTACCATTCTGTGAATAGCCATTGACTTTTGGAAGTAAACAGTGTCGTTCCACGCCAAGGGATCATTTCCAAGAGTGGTAGGAAAAACTTCTCTCTCAAAGGCATCATTGAATGGCTTACACTCTAGATTCTTCTGTAGGGGAGTTCTCATCTGGCTAGCCGTTCAAATGGGAAAAGTGTCCTTAGTCACCCTATGCTCTGTCCAGATCCTAGCGTATGTAGGAAACCCTTTATTTTTTTTCCTCACTCAGCTTTGTTACTGATTTTCTTCTAGGAGTGAATGAAGAAAGAGCATAGGGAAAGGGAGGTGGGTGTTGAGAGCTTAGGCTTTCATTGAGAATCTGGTAACAAAACAGTTCATTGTCTGAATGTGTTGTAGCCCATGTGCTGCCTAGCCTTGGAGGCTTTTGAAGACTGAGAAATATCCGGGGAGCATGGATGTGTTAACTATCAAATCCTTTCCAGAAGACTGTAGTGTGTTCTAAGAATTAAAAACTGTGTTGTTTGAGTGGAGCTTATGTTAAGCTTTGATTACTCCACTGCAAAGGCCACCATTCTCTTGTAATTGACTCCACCCTGAACAGGTTGACCTGTGGGCATCCTTTGTGTGGATGGAGACAAACAGTCATACCTGTGTTTCTAGGAAAGTGCCTGACTGATCTTAAGAGCATGCTTGATCCTCATTCTTATATCAGGGAACTCTCAGAGTTTCACAAAAGAAAGCCAGCTGACCTTTGAGAACAACTCAAAGGCTTAGAACATTCACTCTTCCTTCAAAGATCAGGAGTGTGTCTTTCATGCTATATTCCATATAGCTCCTGGTGCAGTTTTCTTGCATGAAGGGGTGCCCAGGAATTATGTCTGTGTTTTGAGGTAGCAACAAGGTCTATATAGAGAGTCAGGACCCTGAAAGGCACTTAAAGGTCCCCCACCCTGTTCTTTCTGCAGTAACTTCCCATAGTCTTTGCTTGACTGTCACTAGTATGAGGAAAAGTGCTACTTTTCAAGGGAGTCCTCTCCCATCTCTGGACTGCAAACTGTTAGAAAGTTTGCCCCTTTCCATCAATGACTTCGGGAGTGAAAAGTATAGCCAGTCTCCTTCAAGATGTACAAGAGTGCTGGCTCCTGTCGTCTCAGCTCCTGGGTATTTTAAGCCCTGGAGTCCAGTTGGATCCTGATAAAGGAGAAGAGGAGACAGGCAGCTTAATTAGGAGGAGAAAGGAAAGGCCGAGGAATCTCCAGCATGACTCTGTGGGCTTTGGAGGCGGCGGGGACCCTAACTGGTCGCGCTTGCTTCTGTTCTCGCAGTGCGGGGAGATCTGTGCTCTGCTATTTGCTGAGCATAAAGGCTGGCCCTTCTGTACCTTCAACCCCGACTTCCGGTACCAAGTCATCAACTTAGTTTCCCCTTACTGAAGGTGTGTCTATATTCTCTCTGGCATAAGCACCCTTCTCACCCCCAGCCTCCACAATCAATTCTTCTGTGGCAGTTTTCATCAGCCTCCCTTAGCTAGGTATGTGATCACGAAAACTTTCCGAGGTAGGGTGGTCTTGTGGATAATGATATTAGGTAAACTGACCCTACGTTCTAAAGTTCAGATCATGGCCCAAGAAAGCCTTATGGTTTCGGTCCCCTTTCATGGGATAAGGATCCCTGGCTGCTCCACAGAAGCTCTAGGAGTTTCTGGGAGGGATAAAAGCCTGATCTCCACCTCTAATAGAAACCCCTCTGAAAGTGGTGCATTTATTAGGTACTGGATTTCCTATGTGGGAGAGGCCTGCAGAGCTAACAGTCTACAAGAGTGACTTAAAGGATTTTGACTGAGCTGATCTTAGTACCTTGAAAGAATTTTCTGAGAGTTGGGGAATCTTTCCAAGTGTCCCTGTTTCAGGGAGAGACAGGAAGGATGAATTGGAAATTCCATGAACTAGGAATGAATGTGAAATACAAATTAGAGACATGAACTGCCATCAAGATAGCCCAACACTAGTGTGCTACCCATGAGTCTCTCTGGCAATCCAGTTCAGAGCCAAAGAGACAGGAGTGTCAGAAAGTTCTTTTAGCAGAAATACAGGTATGTTCTGGAGTCTGAGTTATGGCTGATGTCACCCTTTGTTTGGATGGGGTTTTAAAAATCATTTTATTTTGGGGGGGGAAAGGGCAGAGAAAGAGAGGGAATCCCAAGCAGGCTCCATGCTCGGCAGGGAGCCTGACATGGGGCTCAGTCCCGCAACCCTGGGATCATGACCTGGGCTGAAATTAAGAGTCGAACACTCAATCGACTGAGCCATCCAGGCACCCCTGAGTGGGCTGTTTTTAAAAGATGCTCTTATGTTCTTCCTTCTTTTCTCTCTTTCTCTCTCTCTAAGGGAATACAACGTTCAGTGAGTGGAAGAAAAGGGAAGGTGACTATCAGTTAAAGGCCTCAAAGACTGAAGTAGTTGCTTACATTTAAAAGCACATTTTAGGCATCTCACCATCCAGTTTTGCTTTATGACTGGAGATAGAACTTTTCACACTGTCTCATATGGCGGTGAGAACAATAGCCCAGAAAACAGAAGTCCCCTGGGCTGCCCCTGAGCTCTACCACACTGTGTGATTTTAGGCAAATTTACCTTGTACCCTTTTCTACTTTTAGTAAAGTGGAAGGTGTTCATCCTTATCTTGGTGGTGAGAGATCTTTGCAAATGTAATTGCACTGTCAATTAATGAAACAAATGAGTGCTAGACATTATACTAAGCATGGGAGGTGGGGGTTGGGAGCTCACTTATAACAAACTGATTGTTTCAGCAAATGTTTCTGAGCCCTGTTGAGTGCAGATAAGGGCCAGAAGCCCTTGAGGGTTCATGATCTTGTCGAATTCATGTTATTATAATTGTCCTTAGACTTGGACTGGATTTTCCTCTTGTTGTGGTCTGAATGAAGGTCAGGATTTGTTAGGCACGGGAGGGGGCAGCTCAGAATTTGGGGACATTTTTCCTAGGCTCCCTGCCTGGTGAACATCTGCCCACACTACAGACTAATGCTCCATGGTGGTTCCCTTGCCCTTGCACACTCATTGTGGTCCTTATCATTTCAGGTTCATTCTAGGGAATGGGGAAAGGGGTGGAACGTACCTATTCAGCCCCCTCCACCAGCCGAGCAACGCGCAAGTGCCTGGGATTCCTAGAAATGGGGCTCTGACCTTATGCAGACATGTTAAGATGAGCTGAAGTTTGGAAGAGTACTTTGGGAAGTGGAAAGCATTGTATAAGTGTTGGCAAACTTTTTCTTGCCTGTTAAAGTCACACCTGTTTTCTCCCTCCTTTTTTTTTGTTCATTCCCTTAAAATTCTATTTCTCCAGAGTATGTGTGACCACACAGTAGGAGCCATTGGGCTTTTCCATCGCCATTACTTGGCCTGAGCTAAAGTGTATATGCGTGAGTCCTCCAAGCTGGGAAGAGAGTCGTTTCCCTGCCTTTATGCACAAGGAGTTTCAGTCTTTGTCTGTATCACCTTCAAAGGACTACATTTCACTTCTTCGTGTGATGTCTTAGTTACTGCACTGTACGTGTGGAAATCAGTTAGAAACTGAATTTTCACATTCTCTTGCACTGTTACATTCTTCCCCCGAAGATAAGAAAATTGCATCAACCTTCACTGGGCTCCCATGGCAACTTGTTAAATTAGGTCAAGATGTGGGGGCAGATAACATGGCTTGAAAGCCTGCCTGTTAGCTGAGTTAAGAATACATCAAATGCAATGCTGGCTTCCGCCAAAATGTACCTTCTTACCTTACTGTGAACTGCTTACGGTTATCAACCTGATACAATCAGAAGGCTCCATTTTCTCTTGTTTGAAGATACATTATGAACCCCGACTAATTACAAAACAATCTGAGAGAAGTGGCCCGGTGTTTTCTATCTGTTTAATAGACCTAAACAACACACTTTCCAGATCCCCAAGAAACGTAGCAGTCTCTGATTATTTTTGCAATTGCAGTAGCTATAGAAGAGTATACTGTATTGTCAAATACTGTTCTCTCTTCCTCTAGCCCCATTTTATAGATGATGAAAGTGAGGCACAAAAAATGACTTATTCAAGACCATGTATTTGCCCCATGCACAGAAGTAGCTCCTGATTGAGCCTTAAGTGCCAGATGCCTCCCTCAACCCTGTAGTCTTTCTCCCTGTTAAGGAATGAGAAGACTCGTTGCTTATCTCGGTTGCTTTCCTACAGTAGATTAGAGACCTCGTCTCCTGCTTGTTACCACTTAGCACCATATGTATGTGGGTCGGGGCTATGTAGGAGGACCTAGTGCTAGCCTTTGGCTTCAGTCTGGAGTATTGGCCTGCATGTCACCTTTTATCAAACTTCATTCCGGATTGCCAGACATTACCACAGATAAGGCATCCTTCCTATCGCTTCTGCTTCTTGAGCAGGCCTGGTGGTAAAGCTATCGTCCAACGCCTGGGTGTATCCCCACCCAGAGTTGCAATTGTGAATGGAGTGGTTAGGGTCTCTTTTTCATCCCGAAGCCTAAAAAGGGCTAAGCCCAAAGCCGCTCATTAACTGTAATGAAATTATGTAGTGCTGTGCAGATTTGTGAAAATATAGTCCCTGATTTTTTTATGGCTAAATGTGGGGCTATCTGGAATTTAACTTTAATACTTTTGCATGAGGTAATCCCCCCAAAAGGAAGACTAGTCCTGTAGAAATAGAAGTCCCCTACCTTACTCTGGGGGCTCTCTCAAATGGCTTCAGGCCTGAAAGACATCTTCTTACCATGTCATAGATGGCTCTGAGCCAGTCTAGGGTCATGTAGTAAGAAAGTCCCTCGGCCAAGCTCAGAACT